GCACCAGAAAAAAGATCCGGACTAAATGTGCACCTTGTAATAGCCCGTTTCATAGTTGCTGATAAATGTCGAACATCACGAAGTGCTTCAACATTGATACCGTGAACTTGTTTGACACCTTGATATGATTTACTATCGCCATCAGTTGTTATATGGGAGATTTTCAAGTAATCACTGATCTCGGTTGCACAAGAACTACTGTATACTGCCTCATTACCAATGGAGGCATCTTCAGCTATATTTGCTGTGCACACACCTCCATGATTTGGACATATAATTTCAATACCCTTCCCTCTCAACCTAGTAGCAACACTACAGAGTTTATTACCCGTAAATAGTGACACAATTTGTTTGGTCGAAGTATTATTTTCCGACATTGTGCACACAACCTGAGTACCAGCTTGAAACGGTGTAGTGCCGCTATTTATGAGAGGGTTGTTATATCGACAGTCCGATTCAACTCTTACAAGTTTTTCATTAGATAGACCACATAATTTATTTTCCTCAACCAAATTTCTCCTTTTGTCTTGCATACTTGCTTTATTCAATTCCTCTACCTGTTTTGCAACTTTGTTTGCAGTCTTTTGCATGCCAGATGAGGAAGGTGGAACCATATTAGAAATCATAAGAATGTCTCTAAAGTTTTTATTTGAGATCGGGGAAGTTATCAGACCACACTGAATCTGAATATTCAGCTTTGCTGACTTTGGACCTCTTTTGTTTGTTTCAACAACATCATACAATCTGTAATATTTGCTAACAAAATCACATATTTGGCATTTTAGCCTTTCACGCCAAACGCAACCCCACTGTTTTTCATTTTCTACATCAAATTTTAAGTCACCTTCACAATCTGAGTTATAAAGTATATGGTTTCTAATTTCAGAATTGAAAAGTGATTCTACATGTTTAGGAGTGTACAATTTATTGGGACAAGCATCAGAAGAGTTATTAGCAGCCTGAAGGTACTTGTCAACTACATCAAGATTCTGGGGCTTTGGCCGAAGGATGACCTGTTCGACAGGAGTTCCATCAACATTTTCAATTGTCAATATACCATTTGAACTTTGTCTTACTCTGCGGTCAAAGACACTTTGAGAATGCCGACAAAACTGATTTTTCTTAGATATTTTGATAAATTCAATTTTTTTACCTTTATTCCAAGGGACATAACCCTTTTTGAAACCATGAATTTTTGACAACTTACTTCTTTTGCGAGTCATTATTCCCCTTAAAACTGCTTGAACTGACTTCTTCTGCTTGTCAAATTGTAGTCAAACTATTACTCTCCAATAAAAACCATTAGAATATGTACAATATTTTATTTTTTAACAATTATAGCCTTTAATTAGACCCCTACCTCTGTTCTGATACATGGTTTAGAATTTATACCTGCTGAGGCAAATACATCCTGAGAGCTGATTATTAATTGGATTTAAAGTGACATATGGTATTTTAATCTCAAGATAAATTATTCTTTCCATTTAACAACTTTTTATTTAAACAAAAATAGTTGATTGGCAATAAAATTGGCATAAGATCTGGAACTTTAACATTTTTTAACAAAAATTTCAAAATAAAATCAATTTAATTTAAATTTAAATGATATATTTTTAGAATTTTATTGGCTAGTTTGATGAGGTAAGGCATACGGTGAGCTAATAATGAGAAAAAATTACACTTTAAACCTTTTTAGACATTCAATTTTGATGATCAATGTGTCTGGTGAACTACCAAATTTTAAAGACTTTTGTAATGAGAATCAGCAGAAATAGGGGACTTAGTTTTTTCAATTTTTTTCAGTAACCGTCTAATATAAACAAGTGAAATTTTAAAAACATACTCAGAAATGATTGTGGAACATGACTGATGCATTGAAATCCTGTTATTTGAGCAAAAGTGCTGTTATAGGTATAGAACCACTAATTCGGGCCCGGTCTGAAAGAACATACAAGAAAGTAGTACATATTTCAAACAAAATAGTTCCTACGCATAGCTGTAACTTTTAAAATTTGTAAAATATCTGGGTAATTTTGGTATCAAATGAAAGCTGAATGACTGTGGACCATTGTAGAACCTTTGTGGAATGATTATATCAAATAATAAAAAAGTTTTATGAAATTGAAACAGGAGGGCATTTATTGCCTGATTCTCAGATCTGAAGTACCTGTTTTTGTACTTCCAAACTTCCGGGAACCAGTGCGGTCTTATATGCAATTAAAGGTATGATGATTTTTCCAGCAAGGGTAACCAGAAAGTATTGTTTTGACATGGAATGAGTGTCACTTTATTTGAACTTAAAACGAAAGAGCTGTGAAAGCTTGAAATTAAGGAATTTAACATAGAAAGCAATGGGACCATTAATTAGTGGTTTTATTCCTATTACAGGAATCTGCACGTGCACCCTTGACATTGAGGTAAAAAATTTGAATATTTTTCTGAATATTTTGAATGATTTATCAAAAATGAATATTGAGCAGTGGAAAACCATGCAAAAAGAGAGAATTTTCAATAGTATTACAGTGCATGGTCCACACAACTGTTGGACCTGTGATCTGGGAGGGAAGGGGCAAAAATATTCAACCCTGTCTGTAAAAATGCCATGGGAAGAGAAGAAAAAAACTGTCCATAGCCATAGATTTGCATACATGATCTTCAATAACAATTTTGAACTGTCAGAACATTTAATGGATGTGTCACATTTATGTCACCAACCCCATTGTGTGAACCCTGGGCACCTGTCTTATGAACCACATCATGTGAATATGGACCGACAAGTTTGCAGTGGAATTTATCCACTGCGCTGTAAAAAGCACGAACCGTACAAAGACTGCATGTTATAAAATCTGTAAAGGTAGAAATAAAAGTAAAATTAACAATCCATATACAGAATATTCAATATTTACAAGTAATTTTATACAATCAAACAGGGCATGCTGAAAATTAATGCTTTCTGGGTTGTCGCTTTGGATATGACTTGTCATGGGTAACACACATTCTTTTCATACAATTTTTATCATAATTTGGATCAGCCATGCCTTTGCGATAAAATACAGGCTGCGAATAATGTATCGAAGCATGCAAACGATACTTTCTGTTTCGACTGATCGCACGTTTCAACTTTGCAACATGACTGCGTCGATATTTGTACATGTATAATTCATGCCTATCTCTCTGTTTCAGATTCATGAGTACTTTTGGTGCTGTGATTTTAACACCAAGCTCTTCAGTGAGCAGGAGAAGAGAATTTGCAAATCTATGATTTCTCATGTGAACTGCAGCATGTGCACGTCCTGGGAAATTTCTGGAAAAAGTCACATTCTTCGGATTGCAACGACTTAGTGCACGATTGAATGCTTCACTTTTTTGTGTCGAGGTAAGAAACCGTACAATATTTAAACTATTGGTACCGAGTAAAATTCTTATACAGTTTTCAACTTTGACTTCATCATCACATGTCATTCTACATGTGCTACCGTTTGGAATAAAATTCTTTATCCAATGATTTGAAGGCAAACCAGCACACACATAGGAGTTAACCTTACAAGAGGATCCACAATAACCTTTGTAGCACATTATTATAGTTTTAATTACTTCAGGCATGTGCTGCTTAACTTTATACAGTTCACCCTGATGCACAGTAAAGCTTTGATTTAATTCTGCAACACACCTTGCTTTAATATCAAGTGCAAATCTATTCTTGAGATTGGCCTTCTTTGCACCAGAAAAAAGATCCGGACTAAATGTGCACCTTGTAATAGCCCGTTTCATAGTTGCTGATAAATGTCGAACATCACGAAGTGCTTCAACATTGATACCGTGAACTTGTTTGACACCTTGATATGATTTACTATCGCCATCAGTTGTTATATGGGAGATTTTCAAGTAATCACTGATCTCGGTTGCACAAGAACTACTGTATACTGCCTCATTACCAATGGAGGCATCTTCAGCTATATTTGCTGTGCACACACCTCCATGATTTGGACATATAATTTCAATACCCTTCCCTCTCAACCTAGTAGCAACACTACAGAGTTTATTACCCGTAAATAGTGACACAATTTGTTTGGTCGAAGTATTATTTTCCGACATTGTGCACACAACCTGAGTACCAGCTTGAAACGGTGTAGTGCCGCTATTTATGAGAGGGTTGTTATATCGACAGTCCGATTCAACTCTTACAAGTTTTTCATTAGATAGACCACATAATTTATTTTCCTCAACCAAATTTCTCCTTTTGTCTTGCATACTTGCTTTATTCAATTCCTCTACCTGTTTTGCAACTTTGTTTGCAGTCTTTTGCATGCCAGATGAGGAAGGTGGAACCATATTAGAAATCATAAGAATGTCTCTAAAGTTTTTATTTGAGATCGGGGAAGTTATCAGACCACACTGAATCTGAATATTCAGCTTTGCTGACTTTGGACCTCTTTTGTTTGTTTCAACAACATCATACAATCTGTAATATTTGCTAACAAAATCACATATTTGGCATTTTAGCCTTTCACGCCAAACGCAACCCCACTGTTTTTCATTTTCTACATCAAATTTTAAGTCACCTTCACAATCTGAGTTATAAAGTATATGGTTTCTAATTTCAGAATTGAAAAGTGATTCTACATGTTTAGGAGTGTACAATTTATTGGGACAAGCATCAGAAGAGTTATTAGCAGCCTGAAGGTACTTGTCAACTACATCAAGATTCTGGGGCTTTGGCCGAAGGATGACCTGTTCGACAGGAGTTCCATCAACATTTTCAATTGTCAATATACCATTTGAACTTTGTCTTACTCTGCGGTCAAAGACACTTTGAGAATGCCGACAAAACTGATTTTTCTTAGATATTTTGATAAATTCAATTTTTTTACCTTTATTCCAAGGGACATAACCCTTTTTGAAACCATGAATTTTTGACAACTTACTTCTTTTGCGAGTCATTATTCCCCTTAAAACTGCTTGAACTGACTTCTTCTGCTTGTCAAATTGTAGTCAAACTATTACTCTCCAATAAAAACCATTAGAATATGTACAATATTTTATTTTTTAACAATTATAGCCTTTAATTAGACCCCTACCTCTGTTCTGATACATGGTTTAGAATTTATACCTGCTGAGGCAAATACATCCTGAGAGCTGATTATTAATTGGATTTAAAGTGACATATGGTATTTTAATCTCAAGATAAATTATTCTTTCCATTTAACAACTTTTTATTTAAACAAAAATAGTTGATTGGCAATAAAATTGGCATAAGATCTGGAACTTTAACATTTTTTAACAAAAATTTCAAAATAAAATCAATTTAATTTAAATTTAAATGATATATTTTTAGAATTTTATTGGCTAGTTTGATGAGGTAAGGCATACGGTGAGCTAATAATGAGAAAAAATTACACTTTAAACCTTTTTAGACATTCAATTTTGATGATCAATGTGTCTGGTGAACTACCAAATTTTAAAGACTTTTGTAATGAGAATCAGCAGAAATAGGGGACTTAGTTTTTTCAATTTTTTTCAGTAACCGTCTAATATAAACAAGTGAAATTTTAAAAACATACTCAGAAATGATTGTGGAACATGACTGATGCATTGAAATCCTGTTATTTGAGCAAAAGTGCTGTTATAGGTATAGAACCACTAATTCGGGCCCGGTCTGAAAGAACATACAAGAAAGTAGTACATATTTCAAACAAAATAGTTCCTACGCATAGCTGTAACTTTTAAAATTTGTAAAATATCTGGGTAATTTTGGTATCAAATGAAAGCTGAATGACTGTGGACCATTGTAGAACCTTTGTGGAATGATTATATCAAATAATAAAAAAGTTTTATGAAATTGAAACAGGAGGGCATTTATTGCCTGATTCTCAGATCTGAAGTACCTGTTTTTGTACTTCCAAACTTCCGGGAACCAGTGCGGTCTTATATGCAATTAAAGGTATGATGATTTTTCCAGCAAGGGTAACCAGAAAGTATTGTTTTGACATGGAATGAGTGTCACTTTATTTGAACTTAAAACGAAAGAGCTGTGAAAGCTTGAAATTAAGGAATTTAACATAGAAAGCAATGGGACCATTAATTAGTGGTTTTATTCCTATTACAGGAATCTGCACGTGCACCCTTGACATTGAGGTAAAAAATTTGAATATTTTTCTGAATATTTTGAATGATTTATCAAAAATGAATATTGAGCAGTGGAAAACCATGCAAAAAGAGAGAATTTTCAATAGTATTACAGTGCATGGTCCACACAACTGTTGGACCTGTGATCTGGGAGGGAAGGGGCAAAAATATTCAACCCTGTCTGTAAAAATGCCATGGGAAGAGAAGAAAAAAACTGTCCATAGCCATAGATTTGCATACATGATCTTCAATAACAATTTTGAACTGTCAGAACATTTAATGGATGTGTCACATTTATGTCACCAACCCCATTGTGTGAACCCTGGGCACCTGTCTTATGAACCACATCATGTGAATATGGACCGACAAGTTTGCAGTGGAATTTATCCACTGCGCTGTAAAAAGCACGAACCGTACAAAGACTGCATGTTATAAAATCTGTAAAGGTAGAAATAAAAGTAAAATTAACAATCCATATACAGAATATTCAATATTTACAAGTAATTTTATACAATCAAACAGGGCATGCTGAAAATTAATGCTTTCTGGGTTGTCGCTTTGGATATGACTTGTCATGGGTAACACACATTCTTTTCATACAATTTTTATCATAATTTGGATCAGCCATGCCTTTGCGATAAAATACAGGCTGCGAATAATGTATCGAAGCATGCAAACGATACTTTCTGTTTCGACTGATCGCACGTTTCAACTTTGCAACATGACTGCGTCGATATTTGTACATGTATAATTCATGCCTATCTCTCTGTTTCAGATTCATGAGTACTTTTGGTGCTGTGATTTTAACACCAAACTCTTCAGTGAGCAGGAGAAGAGAATTTGCAAATCTATGATTTCTCATGTGAACTGCAGCATGTGCACGTCCTGGGAAATTTCTGGAAAAAGTCACATTCTTCGGATTGCAACGACTTAGTGCACGATTGAATGCTTCACTTTTTTGTGTCGAGGTAAGAAACCGTACAATATTTAAACTATTGGTACCGAGTAAAATTCTTATACAGTTTTCAACTTTGACTTCATCATCACATGTCATTCTACATGTGCTACCGTTTGGAATAAAATTCTTTATCCAATGATTTGAAGGCAAACCAGCACACACATAGGAGTTAACCTTACAAGAGGATCCACAATAACCTTTGTAGCACATTATTATAGTTTTAATTACTTCAGGCATGTGCTGCTTAACTTTATACAGTTCACCCTGATGCACAGTAAAGCTTTGATTTAATTCTGCAACACACCTTGCTTTAATATCAAGTGCAAATCTATTCTTGAGATTGGCCTTCTTTGCACCAGAAAAAAGATCCGGACTAAATGTGCACCTTGTAATAGCCCGTTTCATAGTTGCTGATAAATGTCGAACATCACGAAGTGCTTCAACATTGATACCGTGAACTTGTTTGACACCTTGATATGATTTACTATCGCCATCAGTTGTTATATGGGAGATTTTCAAGTAATCACTGATCTCGGTTGCACAAGAACTACTGTATACTGCCTCATTACCAATGGAGGCATCTTCAGCTATATTTGCTGTGCACACACCTCCATGATTTGGACATATAATTTCAATACCCTTCCCTCTCAACCTAGTAGCAACACTACAGAGTTTATTACCCGTAAATAGTGACACAATTTGTTTGGTCGAAGTATTATTTTCCGACATTGTGCACACAACCTGAGTACCAGCTTGAAACGGTGTAGTGCCGCTATTTATGAGAGGGTTGTTATATCGACAGTCCGATTCAACTCTTACAAGTTTTTCATTAGATAGACCACATAATTTATTTTCCTCAACCAAATTTCTCCTTATGTCTTGCATACTTGCTTTATTCAATTCCTCTACCTGTTTTGCAACTTTGTTTGCAGTCTTTTGCATGCCAGATGAGGAAGGTGGAACCATATTAGAAATCATAAGAATGTCTCTAAAGTTTTTATTTGAGATCGGGGAAGTTATCAGACCACACTGAATCTGAATATTCAGCTTTGCTGACTTTGGACCTCTTTTGTTTGTTTCAACAACATCATACAATCTGTAATATTTGCTAACAAAATCACATATTTGGCATTTTAGCCTTTCACGCCAAACGCAACCCCACTGTTTTTCATTTTCTACATCAAATTTTAAGTCACCTTCACAATCTGAGTTATAAAGTATATGGTTTCTAATTTCAGAATTGAAAAGTGATTCTACATGTTTAGGAGTGTACAATTTATTGGGACAAGCATCAGAAGAGTTATTAGCAGCCTGAAGGTACTTGTCAACTACATCAAGATTCTGGGGCTTTGGCCGAAGGATGACCTGTTCGACAGGAGTTCCATCAACATTTTCAATTGTCAATATACCATTTGAACTTTGTCTTACTCTGCGGTCAAAGACACTTTGAGAATGCCGACAAAACTGATTTTTCTTAGATATTTTGATAAATTCAATTTTTTTACCTTTATTCCAAGGGACATAACCATTTTTGAAACCATGAATTTTTGACAACTTACTTCTTTTGCGAGTCATTATTCCCCTTAAAACTGCTTGAACTGACTTCTTCTGCTTGTCAAATTGTAGTCAAACTATTACTCTCCAATAAAAACCATTAGAATATGTACAATATTTTATTTTTTAACAATTATAGCCTTAAATTAGACCCCTACCTCTGTTCTGATACATGGTTTAGAATTTATACCTGCTGAGGCAAATACATCCTGAGAGCTGATTATTAATTGGATTTAAAGTGACATATGGTATTTTAATCTCAAGATAAATTATTCTTTCCATTTAACAACTTTTTATTTAAACAAAAATAGTTGATTGGCAATAAAATTGGCATAAGATCTGGAACTTTAACATTTTTTAACAAAAATTTCAAAATAAAATCAATTTAATTTAAATTTAAATGATATATTTTTAGAATTTTATTGGCTAGTTTGATGAGGTAAGGCATACGGTGAGCTAATAATGAGAAAAAATTACACTTTAAACCTTTTTAGACATTCAATTTTGATGATCAATGTGTCTGGTGAACTACCAAATTTTAAAGACTTTTGTAATGAGAATCAGCAGAAATAGGGGACTTAGTTTTTTCAATTTTTTTCAGTAACCGTCTAATATAAACAAGTGAAATTTTAAAAACATACTCAGAAATGATTGTGGAACATGACTGATGCATTGAAATCCTGTTATTTGAGCAAAAGTGCTGTTATAGGTATAGAACCACTAATTCGGGCCCGGTCTGAAAGAACATACAAGAAAGTAGTACATATTTCAAACAAAAAAGTTCCTACGCATAGCTGTAACTTTTAAAATTTGTAAAATATCTGGGTAATTTTGGTATCAAATGAAAGCTGAATGACTGTGGACCATTGTAGAACCTTTGTGGAATGATTATATCAAATAATAAAAAAGTTTTATGAAATTGAAACAGGAGGGCATTTATTGCCTGATTCTCAGATCTGAAGTACCTGTTTTTGTACTTCCGAACTTCCGGGAACCAGTGCGGTCTTATATGAAATTAAAGGTATGATGATTTTTCCAGCAAGGGTAACCAGAAAGTATTGTTTTGACATGGAATGAGTGTCACTTTATTTGAACTTAAAACGAAAGAGCTGTGAAAGCTTGAAATTAAGGAATTTAACATAGAAAGCAATGGGACCATTAATTAGTGGTTTTATTTCTAATACAGGAATCTGCACGTGCACCCTTGACATTGAGGTAAAAAATTTGAATATTTTTCTGAATATTTTGAATGATTTATCAAAAATGAATATTGAGCAGTGGAAAACCATGCAAAAAGAGAGAATTTTCAATAGTATTACAGTGCATGGTCCACACAACTGTTGGACCTGTGATCTGGGAGGGAAGGGGCAAAAATATTCAACCCTGTCTGTAAAAATGCCATGGGAAGAGAAGAAAAAAACTGTCCTTAGCCATAGATTTGCATACATGATCTTCAATAACAATTTTGAACTGTCAGAACATTTAATGGATGTGTCACATTTATGTCACCAACCCCATTGTGTGAACCCTGGGCACCTGTCTTATGAACCACATCATGTGAATATGGACCGACAAGTTTGCAGTGGAATTTATCCACTGCGCTGTAAAAAGCACGAACCGTACAAAGACTGCATGTTATAAAATCTGTAAAGGTAGAAATAAAAGTAAAATTAACAATCCATATACAGAATATTCAATATTTACAAGTAATTTTATACAATCAAACAGGGCATGCTGAAAATTAATGCTTTCTGGGTTGTCGCTTTGGATATGACTTGTCATGGGTAACACACATTCTTTTCATACAATTTTTATCATAATTTGGATCAGCCATGCCTTTGCGATAAAATACAGGCTGCGAATAATGTATCGAAGCATGCAAACGATACTTTCTGTTTCGACTGATCGCACGTTTCAGCTTTGCAACATGACTGCGTCGATATTTGTACATGTATAATTCATACCTATCTCTCTGTTTCAGATTCATGAGTACTTTTGGTGCTGTGATTTTAACACCAAGCTCTTCAGTGAGCAGGAGAAGAGAATTTGCAAATCTATGATTTCTCATGTGAACTGCAGCATGTGCACGTCCTGGGAAATTTCTGGAAAAAGTCACATTCTTCGGATTGCAACGACTTAGTGCACGATTGAATGCTTCACTTTTTTGTGTCGAGGTAAGAAACCGTACAATATTTAAACTATTGGTACCGAGTAAAATTCTTATACAGTTTTCAACTTTGACTTCATCATCACATGTCATTCTACATGTGCTACCGTTTGGAATAAAATTCTTTATCCAATGATTTGAAGGCAAACCAGCACACACATAGGAGTTAACCTTACAAGAGGATCCACAATAACCTTTGTAGCACATTATTATAGTTTTAATTACTTCAGGCATGTGCTGCTTAACTTTATACAGTTCACCCTGATGCACAGTAAAGCTTTGATTTAATTCTGCAACACACCTTGCTTTAATATCAAGTGCAAATCTATTCTTGAGATTGGCCTTCTTTGCACCAGAAAAAAGATCCGGACTAAATGTGCACCTTGTAATAGCCCGTTTCATAGTTGCTGATAAATGTCGAACATCACGAAGTGCTTCAACATTGATACCGTGAACTTGTTTGACACCTTGATATGATTTACTATCGCCATCAGTTGTTATATGGGAGATTTTCAAGTAATCACTGATCTCGGTTGCACAAGAACTACTGTATACTGCCTCATTACCATTGGAGGCATCTTCAGCTATATTTGCTGTGCACACACCTCCATGATTTGGACATATAATTTCAATACCCTTCCCTCTCAACCTAGTAGCAACACTACAGAGTTTATTACCCGTAAATAGTGACACAATTTGTTTGGTCGAAGTATTATTTTCCGACATTGTGCACACAACCTGAGTACCAGCTTGAAACGGTGTAGTGCCGCTATTTATGAGAGGGTTGTTATATCGACAGTCCGATTCAACTCTTACAAGTTTTTCATTAGATAGACCACATAATTTATTTTCCTCAACCAAATTTCTCCTTATGTCTTGCATACTTGCTTTATTCAATTCCTCTACCTGTTTTGCAACTTTGTTTGCAGTCTTTTGCATGCCAGATGAGGAAGGTGGAACCATATTAGAAATCATAAGAATGTCTCTAAAGTTTTTATTTGAGATCGGGGAAGTTATCAGACCACACTGAATCTGAATATTCAGCTTTGCTGACTTTGGACCTCTTTTGTTTGTTTCAACAACATCATACAATCTGTAATATTTGCTAACAAAATCACATATTTGGCATTTTAGCCTTTCACGCCAAACGCAACCCCACTGTTTTTCATTTTCTACATCAAATTTTAAGTCACCTTCACAATCTGAGTTATAAAGTATATGGTTTCTAATTTCAGAATTGAAAAGTGATTCTACATGGTTAGGAGTGTACAATTTATTGGGACAAGCATCAGAAGAGTTATTAGCAGCCTGAAGGTACTTGTCAACTACATCAAGATTCTGGGGCTTTGGCCGAAGGATGACCTGTTCGACAGGAGTTCCATCAACATTTTCAATTGTCAATATACCATTTGAACTTTGTCTTACTCTGCGGTCAAAGACACTTTGAGAATGCCGACAAAACTGATTTTTCTTAGATATTTTGATAAATTCAATTTTTTTACCTTTATTCCAAGGGACATAACCCTTTTTGAAACCATGAATTTTTGACAACTTACTTCTTTTGCGAGTCATTATTCCCCTTAAAACTGCTTGAACTGACTTCTTCTGCTTGTCAAATTGTAGTCAAACTATTACTCTCCAATAAAAACCATTAGAATATGTACAATATTTTATTTTTTAACAATTATAGCCTTAAATTAGACCCCTACCTCTGTTCTGATACATGGTTTAGAATTTATACCTGCTGAGGCAAATACATCCTGAGAGCTGATTATTAATTGGATTTAAAGTGACATATGGTATTTTAATCTCAAGATAAATTATTCTTTCCATTTAACAACTTTTTATTTTAACAAAAATAGTTGATTGGCAATAAAATTGGCATAAGATCTGGAACTTTAACATTTTTTAACAAAAATTTCAAAATAAAATCAATTTAATTTAAATTTAAATGATATATTTTTAGAATTTTATTGGCTAGTTTGATGAGGTAAGGCATACGGTGAGCTAATAATGAGAAAAAATTACACTTTAAACCTTTTTAGACATTCAATTTTGATGATCAATGTGTCTGGTGAACTACCAAATTTTAAAGACTTTTGTAATGAGAATCAGCAGAAATAGGGGACTTAGTTTTTTCAATTTTTTTCAGTAACCGTCTAATATAAACAAGTGAAATTTTAAAAACATACTCAGAAATGATTGTGGAACATGACTGATGCATTGAAATCCTGTTATTTGAGCAAAAGTGCTGTTATAGGTATAGAACCACTAATTCGGGCCCGGTCTGAAAGAACATACAAGAAAGTAGTACATATTTCAAACAAAAAAGTTCCTACGCATAGCTGTAACTTTTAAAATTTGTAAAATATCTGGGTAATTTTGGTATCAAATGAAAGCTGAATGACTGTGGACCATTGTAGAACCTTTGTGGAATGATTATATCAAATAATAAAAAAGTTTTATGAAATTGAAACAGGAGGGCATTTATTGCCTGATTCTCAGATCTGAAGTACCTGTTTTTGTACTTCCGAACTTCCGGGAACCAGTGCGGTCTTATATGCAATTAAAGGTATGATGATTTTTCCAGCAAGGGTAACCAGAAAGTATTGTTTTGACATGGAATGAGTGTCACTTTATTTGAACTTAAAACGAAAGAGCTGTGAAAGCTTGAAATTAAGGAATTTAACATAGAAAGCAATGGGACCATTAATTAGTGGTTTTATTTCTAATACAGGAATCTGCACGTGCACCCTTGACATTGAGGTAAAAAATTTGAATATT